TTTGCCACCCAGTGCGTCATAGAAAAAGCAAACTAGGATATGAATCGTTTGCAAGCTCAGGTTGTTGAAGCACTAATTGGCAGCCTCCTGTGATTTTTGGCCTTTGGTTGCTAAAACGTCTAGTAGCGATTTTAGCGTCGCTTGATTTGTGACCTGATCTTTCTAATTAAGAAAAAATTGCGCAAAACAAATGTTTTTACAAAGAATTGTGACTAGGGCTTTTTGAATTGAGTGTTATATTTCTACTGAAAAAAAACTGCCATATAAACGGCGTGTTATGGAAAGTATGTGATAATAGAATATTTCTAAACGTTTTAAAACTAACATTTTGATGCAAAACTACCCGCACAGAGTAATGAGTATCTCAAAGCCTTTATAATCCTTCTTTTCAAAAACCGTCAATTTTTGACTCTCCTTTTGCAGTATTCTAAGAAGAAAAATTTACCTAGCTAAAACTTCATCATGCACTCGTTGCAAGGCAAGAGAGTGAGTCATCGTAAACTTCCGGAATTCACTCATCAACAGAGTCGTCAGGTTTTTGTTCCATACAAGTATGATAAACTTTGAGCACCGTTTTGTGTGATTCTTACCCCGTTGTTTCCCGTAGAGAGCACCTCTATTTACTAAGATGACTAATTCGCCTTTGATGAGAATTTCTTTACAGTAGAGGAAAATTCCAATGCAGAAAATCTCAGAGCTGAAGTCAATGACTACTACTGATTGGTAGGACTGAATTTTTGATTGAAAAACGAATTTCTTCGCATTAGATAACAAGCTCACGCGAATATTGTGCAACTGCACACGGTGAAAAACTTAACGTCAGCTTAACCTAGCTCAACGACAATACTTTCACTAATTCACCGCTTGGCTTTGTTATTCTGTACTTAACTTTTTAAAATTTTCAACTCCGCTCCAAGGAGCCTTGCGCTTTCGTGACTTTGAAGTCTCAAGCAAAAAAGTCCGTCGTATCTTCGTTTGTTGTCATACACCAGGCAGCCAATCCCTTGCGCGCATCGATTCGTTTCGTGCAATGCCGCTGTTTTTTGAGGTCACTATTTGTGCAGCGTTGAATTCGTTTCATTCCTCGGCAAAAGCACAGCTTGTAGCACCGCCACTGGTCAATAAAGAGGTTGACATTGTTTGACATATTCAATCCTTTTTTGTACTGGTCTTACTTATAAAGGAAGCGTGCCGTAATTGCTTGATCCTCCAGTACCCGTCTGGCTTCAGTTCTCGCGCCAACCTTCCTACAGAACAGATTTCGCAGTCGTTGCACCGTTTGCTACAGTCCCCTTACCGCGCCCAACAGGGTGTTCGTGGCGGGAACAGCGTACCTGCGAACTTCAAAATGAACCTAATGCAAAAGCAGTTCTTGTCCGAGGCTGGGCGTGTAAGAACTACAAGGACGTCAAAAGATGAGCAGTTTTTTTCGCACCTAAGGGACCGGCCATACTATTCCAGGAGGTGATTCCTGCGATTCCTTTAAATCCTGCAAATCTTGTAATTTCTCGACTTCCGATATGTCGCACTACGGAGCCCTTTGCGAATTTCAGTATACATTGCTTTTTCGCAATATACATTGTTACGGAACCCACAGGAATCACAAGAATCGCAGGAATTGCAGGAATCGCAGGAATAATATGGCCGGTAACACAGGTTGATGTATCATACGCAGATTCTGAGTCTATTGGTTTCAAAACCGCTGTCTAAATTGGATTCGTAGATGCTTTGTTTTTTTTCTTACTTTCAGCCCTAAATCATCGTTCTTTCTCACTTTCAAGGTTTTTCTACTTGGATTACGAGCGTATCAATGTCTCAATGAAGGTTCCCCAAGACTTATACTCCGGTCACCCCATTCTTCTAGTCTGAGTTTTCGCCATCTACATTGCGAATGCTGTTTTTTTTTGTTTCAGTCCCTCGATTGTAATAAATGAGTGACTAATGAAACGTAGATATGATTATTGATATTTCTCAACTTCATTCACTTCAGTTTCTCAGAGAAATCCTATCATAAGCTCTGACACTGACGATGCTAGCTAGTAGTGTACTACCTACCGGCTACTAGTTAGTGAGTGTAACTTAAATCGATGTGTTCTATCTACGATCCAGAAGATCAGCAACACATCATATTAACTCCAAGACCACTTTATGCAATTAAGATTAAAGAAAGTAAGAGGGGACACCTTTTGTGGTCGCAATAGGTTTATAGTAAGTTAAGTCAGCACCGGAATCCGAACGAATAATAGTTTCCTTTCGGATGCAGCCTTACGTACAAATAGTGATAAAATGCGAAGAGAAAACGCTGCAAATGACAGTGATCATGGGTGCAGACAGCATCGCAGGTTCTTTTTGAAGTTCGTGAGTGCGCGATGGTCCTGCCAGCAAATAGCGGCTTTCGCTTTGCTACGAACGCATACAGTTCCTAAAGCTGTTGCGTTAGACTGTACCCTATTTTCAGGTCTATAAGCCGCACCCTTTTTGCTCTAAACGCGAGCAGACCCAGGCGTGCCGCCGCGCGTGTGTCTCGCGAAGCGGTCGCCTTATCGCATACTGCTCTCACTTAACGCGCTCCATAATAACAGTCAGTCTTTTGGCGTGTTCGCCTTTACAGCAAAAAGGGTGCGGCTTATACACCTGAAAATAGGGTACTTTGGCATGAGCTCAGTGTCAGTGGATGGAACCTCAGCAATAGTTAAATTGTCACACTATCTTGAGTTCTCAAAGTTATACATGGTGTAAGATCCAAATTCATGTCGTCACTCTTCCATGAACAAGACAATAGGTAAACTATACTAGGTTATATGATAAAATATAGCTTTCAAGACCTATCAAGGTGATGTTATGCAGCTCAACAACTCATCAAGAAGGGCAAACTCCGAACATCCTTAGTGCGACATTTATTCTTGGCTTTTACCAGCACCAGTTTCCGGAAAATGCTTCAAACAAAAAATAAACAGAATAACAGCTTTTTTTGATCTCCGAGAAGTATCACCCGCCTAAATAGGTCTCCATTTTCTATGTAGTATGATATATCAAAACCCTTGACTGATCTAATCCACACTTGATGGGAAAAGACACTAATTTCCAGTAGTCAGTTGAGCTTAGGGCAATTACGGTGAAATGCAAAGTGGGGTTGAAATGCGTAATATCCCCTCTTCAAAAGGTAGAGAACTATATGTCGCCGAAAAAGGGCGTTCCCTGCGGTCATTTGCGACAAATAAGCACCCTTGTACATGCGCGGACATGCGTTCCTGCAGGGAATCCGCGCAGGAGTCTTCCAAATTCGGCGACGTATAGTCCTCTACCCTCTTCAAAATACTTGAAGTATTGATCCTAGTGCTTTGTCGAGTAAACCACAGGGTCAAACCCTTGGCAATAAGTACGCAAATGCAGTTTCCAATCAGGGACGATGTGAGCAACTCGCCTTCAAAGCCAGTGAGTTGAACGGGTCCCGCCACGAACACCCTGTTGGGCGCGGTAGGGGTACTGTAGCAAACGGTGCAACGACTGCGAAATCTGTTCTGTAACCTTCCTTTGTATCTGTCTGCAAATAAATTTGTCGGGAAAGTTTAGGAGGTTTTCGCTGTCCTAATGGCTTCATGTTGACTTATTAGATCCCGTATATCTTTTCTCTACTTGTTCCAATCCTTTGCCAAACCCCTTTAATACTATTTTTGTTTTTTTGTTTCAAACTGAAAATGGCTACCAATGTGATGCAACTATGGAGCCTTTCTCTTATAGAAAAAGTTGTGCAAACGCTAAGTCGATGTATGTAGGGAAATTAATATGTATGTAGGGAAATTTACACTTTTACTTTCGAAAAATATAATTTTGCGTTGCTACTGTAGTTAAATAGCTTGCCAAAGTCGTGTCAGTTAAGTTTGCCTACTGATTTTCCGAGCAAAATGACCTGTGTCGTGGCCGTTTAGCACCCCTTTCGTTGATGTGTCTTCTTTGGAAGTCCAAGCAGTTATTTTCAGCAGACTGATGATCAGTTTGTCTCGATAGGGTACAAGGCCATACTGGCGATTGATTCCATTTCGCGCAAATTTTCATTCAAATCGGCTATTGCATCACTTCCATACATAGTGAGTTGGACTTGCAGTGCATTTTTCGATTACCGCTGTGAATTTGACGAATAGGACTGTGATTTGCCTTCTCTTAGCTACGCCCCAATAAAACTTCGATCCCAATAGGCTGATAGTCTGGGCTTGAAGAGATAATCAAAATGTATACGATCAATCTAATAAAAGACATTTCTCTTCATACCCCTCTCCCTCTTTTCCTCTCTTTTCATCGACCCTATTTCTCTCTAGTTCTCCTTCTCCGCATTTCTTTTCTCCCTCTTTTGTGTACTCTCCGACCAGCTAAGTGGCTAGATCTTACACACTTATCGCGATTGCTTGAAATGTGCCTAAATCCGGATGTTTTGTGTGCTTCTGTCACAAAGTGCACTAAAGCCGTTCCATCTCGTCCAAGGCTGTGTTTCGTTGCGCATTTCCACTTTCAAAAGCTTGTAAAGGTTGGCGCTTCCTGTCAAGAAGACCTTTCTGTCAGGTTTTTTATACAGTTATGTACAGAGCTGATTTCCAAAGAATTGAAGAGAACTAAAATCTATGCAAATTTTTTTCGATAACTCGTCCGTGTCATGGAAATTTTGACTTTACCTCGAAAAGTCCCTTCCAGCACTCGACTGAAAAGTGGACATTTTTCTCCCTCTTCCCTAGACCTGCCTCCTTAATTATGCATTTGCTTTATCATGGTGTTTTTAGGATGGTCCCTTGCATCTCGATAATACCACATTTCTTGTGGGCAATTTGCATTCGATTAACCTGATCAATTTCTGATTATTTTTCCGTTGCTATTGTAATTTTGCGGTGATGGGCAGTTTACAAACCTATCTGGAACGTTATCTGTCCATTACTTTGTCTTTCCCTTCAATTTTTCGCGAGATTTCGTTTTTTGAATGTTGCTCTTTTACATATAAATCATTTGTACTCTTTTCAGATGTTTGAGCTTGCATTTATCGCTGTTTGCTTGTTAATCTTAGTATATGTAGCAATGAAAGTTGCTAATAGTGGATTTTTTGCAAACTTACAGGTGAGGGTTATTCATTTTTTTTTGTTTGTTTGTGTGAATCTCTCTTGTAACTTCTCTTTGCTAGCACACTTTTTTACCTATCAATCTCTTGGAAAATTGATCAGTTTTGCTTCTGCAGCAGATAGCATATCATTCTCACACTTTTGTTCTATAAACAAGGTGATAAGGCTTGACAGTTGTGCAGCTGCCTACTTTTCCGCCAAAAACGGCCTTGCATCGCTTTGCAACTTTCTTTTTTTACCGATAGCTTTTTTGTAGACCACGAGTGAAACTGTAAATTATTGCTATTATCTTTAGATTGCTTGAATCTGTCAAAATGCTGCAGTTTCTATGAATTATTTTCTAGAACTTGCTTGTCAAATATATCAGCGGGGAATTATCTTTTACTGGTTCATTCATTCCAGCCTGTGGTCACGGAAACACCAAAATACTTGGGAAAAGCGCTCACTGTCTACTATAAACATCATGTCGGAGCGTATTCTGGAGTTGGAGCATTGTTCAAGGAGGTGAGTCGAAACTTTTTGGTACTTGCTGAAATTCTTATTCCACCTATGTGAGATATCTTCTCTTGAAAAGTAAAGTTGTAACGGACTTTTTTTCCTTTTTTTGCAGTGAGTGATTTTTCTCGATCGAATCCTTTTGCTGTATTTCTTTCTACGTGCACATCATGTAATTGTAATGATGATTTATTGCATAAGTATGCTGCCCTAGGTTCGAGAGCTTCTGCCAAGTGGAGCCGTAACCTTTGGTATCTACTACGACAATCCAAGAGTGAGTCATAGCATTTTTCATGGTATGCGAGTAATTCTCAGCTGACTTATTATTACGTCGTTTAGGAACGTGATGAGCATTTGCTCCAGTCAGCTGTCGGTGTTATTTTTGCAGGTAATTGCAACACTTTTTTTCGGTTTTGTAGCAAATCGCCTTCACCAATCTTTCATGATGTTTAGAAGATGACAAACCGCTCTACACTGACAATTATGCTCAACAATTGACGCGATGGGGCTATGAAAAAATGGTCTTGCCAAAGGTCAGTGGTCTTTGGTCTAACTTACATGTTGCAGTTTTCAAATGACGTTGAATCATCATTCTATCAGTTCACTTTTTAGATAGAACGTGCTGTTGAAGTGAGTCAACCGTATACGGGAGCTCTTTCCGTTTTTGCCTTAATATACCGGACTTATGGCATCATCCGGCAGTTTATCGAGGTCAGTTTCTTCGTTCCCTAGCATTATCTGTAAGCTCTATTTTCTTGCCCGCCTACTTTCTTTTTTCACTTCGAGGCGTTCAGGAGAAACGTTTGGAGACCTCGATAGCCATCGAGTTTTACAGCAAAGACGAAATCTGCCTGTCGTTCCCACTGGAACACGTCAAGGAGTTTATTGTGCCAGAGGTGTGATTTCATGTTTTTGTTTTTTTTTTCATAATATATTTTTACATTCTTCTGAGTTTTCAGAATGAACGCAAAGCTTTTCACTATTTTTTAGACCTAGAAATCAACGTTGCCATTCGAAATTACTTTAAAAGCGTATTCTATATTCTAACTTTATACCGCCTTCATTATTGTTTTACTTGCTCAGAAGCTTCCAAACAATATTAGCACTATGTGGAGCACGTCTCCATCGAGACAGTGGTCCATGAATGTTTTACAGTTGAAGGCATTGAGAAACCTGCAACACGGTCTCAGTTTTTTTTTGCTAACTCAAATCTCTTTTGTCCCGTTGTCTGCAGAAAGGCAGTAAACTTTCATCCAATGCGTGCATAGTTTTGTTATGTATCCTTGATTACTTTGTTCTAGTACTTGTCACCAGAAGCGTTGGAGTCTAAGCTTGCGAGGAAGAAATTTGATTCTGATGAGGAGTCGAGCGAAAGTGAACTGGAGCATGCCTCAGAAGTAGAAATACCAGACAAATCTGAGATCGAAAGCGCTGCTGGCGGTGATAAGAAGGCCGACTAGATGGATGTCCTTCACCCCGAATTTGCTTTGTAAATTGACAATGTTCGAAATAGGTAACTGCGTGTGCCTTGTATGTTTGCTGTTTTTCTCGCACATATCCAAGTTTTGTTGTTATTTTTCCACGGTTGAGAATGAAGTTTCCAAAAGATATAGTAATAGTGTAGAGATATCTTGTCCGTCGCATAAGGGGAATGTGAAAATGCAGGTGCTGGCGAAGATTCCTCTCTTTTCAACGATTTATTGACGGCATACATGCGACAAGGTGAGCATGGTCTGTCGAAATCAAAGGGCTTCACTGTGTTGGAGCCCCTCCGAGGTGAAAGGTCTCATCTGAACGGGAGACGTCGACTTGTGTAAAGGGGGGGGGGGGGATTATAAAATACGTCGATGGGGTAGTAGAGAGGGAGTGTGTATAACCAATGTGTATGGTGTGCATGCGAATGTTTTCATGAGTGTGAGAGAGGGTGATATCACTCGTAGAAATTTACCAAAGCAATTGGTGTTATTTAGCACGCAAGCCCCCGTCCCCTCCCCATTCTGAAAGGCCCTGTCCAGCTAGAATTTCATCTCTGAAATTTTGGACAGTTTTGACTGTTCTCGGCCTGCTGGATCCTAATTTACCCCCCAAGCTATGCAACCGCATAACCTTCTTCGAGGGCCCTTTCGGAAGAGCGATGGATGAGATGCGCTCTGCTGCAGCTGTAGGAGACGGATGGGCGGGATACCGACCTGAGACGGTATCAGATTTCGCCTTTTGTAAGACTCGTTCGAAGCAATTTCTCCGCTCCAGAATCCACCTCTGCTGATGGGATTTAAAGGCAGCATCCGGGCAAAATTTCGCCTCTCATGTTTCTGCCATTCTGGGGCCTTTCCGTGGCGCTGATTACAGTTGTAAAGTTCAAATTGTTCAAAACTCCCAAGAATCCGGTTCTTGGGGACCTTCTTTTCAAGGAGCGGACGAGTTTCGAATTGCTCGTCCCCATCGTCATGCCAGCGGAAGGAGCTGCAACTGAACGGTTGCAGTTGCATTGCAGTGTGCAGTGCAACTGCAATGCAACTGCAATGCAACCGCACACCTGCGTAAGCACTCGTCCTCAGGGGTGGTTTGTGATACGAAGGGGCGGCTTGTGATACGTATCACAGGCCCGTATCTCCTTTTAGAGGGCACGTCTAAGGATTGGACCAACGCAGATAGGATACTCATGGGCCCCTCTTTACAAGTATGTGCTAATCTGGGTGGATGGATCTTGCCTGGACGCTGCCTTTAAACTATTGGGTTTGTCAGGAGCTGTGCTTTCGTACTGCGTCAAGGTGCCACCAACCCTAGTGGACACACATAGCCTTCAAACCACTGTGTATGGGTGTGAAAAGTGTTTTTTCTTCTTCCCATGTCGTAAGAAACTGTGGTCGGTCCTCCCATTCAGCCATCGAGCTTTATAGACGTGTCTGAAAAATTAGGTTAATATTTGATAACACTGTACGAGTAATCTAAATTTCCTGCAGGCTCTGTGATTGGAAATCGTATGGGGGAGATTGTATAACGCTTCATATGCTTCATACACTAGATGGAACATCTAAAAGAAAGAGTGTAAACCATTTGACGACTAATGACCGTCATGTGACTACGGGGAATTTACTCATGAATATAAAAGGCTATAAAAGGCAAACATGGATCAGAGTGAGAATTATATCCATGCGAGTATCAGCAAGTATCAAAGGCGAATTGAATTATTTTCCTTGAGATCTCCAAACGAGATACAGCATTAGTACAGGGTGTTTGGGAAGTATCGGCCTAAAGTACTTCCTCAAATTCTGACACTCTTTTTGTTCTACTGTACTCATCAGCCCTAGATACCATTATTTCAGTGAATATCAAATTTCTTTGTAGTTTCTGTGATATCCCCCATAATGGTCGGCCGCCTCATCGTGGCGTGGGGGTGACACTGGGTGTCGAATTGCGATTCACAGCCGAGTGTATACTCGGTAGGGCTTCCCAAGCTGTGAAGGAGTTCGACGTTTCCGGTTTCGGCCGGCCTAGCTAAGAGCCGGCCAGGCCAGCCCGCCGTCTGACTTTCTCAGGTCGCTAGGCGCTCCCTCCCCGCTCCACATCAAGATCAGCGATCGCCCCGTGGAAATCAAGAGTTGGCCTAGTAAGTCTGCTCTTGTAGGGGAAAAATTTCTATTACTCGTTCAGCAAAGAGAAGAGAAATAAATCCTGCACATCGGATCCTGCCTACGGCGCCGGGTGGCAGCAAGTCGTTCTTGTCAGGGTACTCAGGGCGCCTTCCGGATTGGACAAAAACGAAAAGTCTGCCCGGACTACACGCCATGGAGACATCCTCATGCTCTGCACCTACAACGCCAGGACAGTCTCCACAAACGCCGATCTCCACGCTCTTCTCGACGCTGCAGAGCACATCATGTACCACGTCTTCGCTCTGCAGGGAACGAAGCCAAGGAAGAAGGACGAGAGACAGATGAGTGATGGGACCCTCATCATTTGTGGTGAGAAGGTTCCCTCACGAAACGTTGAATGTCGACTTTATCGTCCACCCATCCATCGTCCATCTTGTCAAATCGCATGAGATCCTGTCACCTCGACTAGCCATCCTACGACTACGACCTCCACGTCAGAAGACCATCAGCATCATCTACTGCTACTCACCAACATCAGCAGCTGACGACTCAGAACTAGATGCTTTCTACAAAGACGTGGAGCAGGTCGTCCGCAACGCACAGAATTACGTTGAACATTGATGGACTGTTTCATCTATGTTTGAGCCCAAAAAATGTTCGCTTTAATTTTTGGCTATTCTTAGAGTTGTAAATTTCCCGCAAATTAAATTCAATATTTCATCCTAGATTAGTTCTGCAGCTAAGAAAGGCTGTTTTGGAATCACCATTTCAAGCTGCTTCAGATGATACCCATTTCATGTTAAAAGGCTACTGCGAGTTCTGACACTTCCCTTGTCAGTAGTTCCATCCTTTTGCAGTGGCTCCGATCACCGTCTCCTTCGAGCGAAGATACGATTCAGTCAAAAGCTGTAAAAGAAAGCTTGCCACAGCGCCGCAAGAAGGAAAGAAGTTGTTTATGACGGTAACAGGTTAGAAGAGCTCATATCAAGTTTTGACTGGCCCATCGAGGAGGACCCAACATACGACTACGACCGCCTTCTGAAGGGATTGCGAGCCTGCGGAGAGTGCGACTCAGTGACGTCTGAGAAGAACTTGGAGCGCATTTCGAAGACCACCAAGGAATTGCACGAAAGAAGAATTTCTGAGGCAGACTCCGAATACAACCCATCTCGAGCGACTGATAGCCAGCGCCAGTTGCAGAACAGCTTTGCAGGAGGATCTCAGGAAGTACGGGCGAGCCAAGATATTGGAAGCAGCAGAAGGAAGACGAAGTCTCAAGAAGTGCCGAAGGGACCTCAGCGAATATCACGTACTGCTGGCTGCACTGTTGAACGAAGACGGGACTCCGACTTCTTCCCGATACAGGATGGAATCTTCGCGAAGAACTTTTAAACCAATCTCTTCCGCTCATCAACACCCGTGCAGATGCCCGTTATTCCCACTGGAGAAGTACCACCACGAATTCTACTTGCTGAAGTGTGCACGGCGATCCAGACCATGAAGACATCCACGGCTCGAGGACCAGACCATCTTCCCGTCGAATTTCTGCGAGCCGGAGGACAACGTCTACACGAGGTTCTAGCGTTGCATTTGGCATCTTACCTTCGGAAGGAGAAGATTCCCGACCAGAGCAGAACATCAAGAACCGTCCTTCTCTCCAGAAGGGCGAACGGGAGGATCTTCGGAACTACCGTCCAATATGCCTGCTGAGTGTGCTGTACAAGCTTTTCACGACGATTATCCTCGCTCGCATATCTAGGACACTGGATGAAGCCCAACCAAGGCCCGGCGCAGATGGTCTGGAGTCAAACTGGACTTCGTTTTTGAAGTTATCAACAGGGATATGGTTTTTATAAGGTCTAGGGGAAGCGGCGATTGAAAAACGACGAACATGTCAGGTTTTACGAGTTAAACGTGTTCTTTCGCAAGCGCGCGAATTCCAAACGCAAGGCTCAAACAAACAAATGGTTTGTTTACAGCCCAGAAACAATAGCTTCGAATTTGGGCTGTGTGTATACAATATTACTTCAAACTATGTTATGTAAAAAGTTTCAAAAACTTATGCGTCCTAATATCCGTTCCCAAATTTGTTGGTTTCTAGACCAACACCAGACCAACTGGGTTGGTTCGGAGCATAAATATTGGAGAGTTCACATGATTTTTGAACCTTTTTGATTTGAACGATTAGAACGGTCAAAAATCTACATATAGTAAAGAGAACCAGTCAAACCATTGCCTCTCCCCTTTTTCTGAGCCAAAAGAGTGTAAATCTATGCGTTGGTAGCTATTGCGCTCCTATCACATGCGGTGTCCTTTGAACTATGTGGCCAAAAATGCATCGGCAGATTATTGAGGCCACGGATTTGGTTGGCCTAGGAGGTTTTCGACATTCTGAGCATTAAAATGGTACCCTGCCCAATGACAGAGCCTAATGAACTCGAGATGTTTTCTTTTGCTTTTTTTGTTGTATTAGGTACCTCAGAGTGCGCTTTTTTACTTTTTTATTATTTTGATTGATTAGATTAAGGGTTTCCCTATTGACTTTCACGTCAAGAGGGACTTCGTGAATTTTCGTGAAGTCATGGGGGACTTCGTTTCCAAAAATGCTCCAAACCAACGCGTGCCGGGCCCTAAGCCCCAACCCTAAGAACAAGCTGGATTCCGCAAGGGGTTCAGCTGCGTGGACCACATCCAGACGGCTTCCAGAGTCATATAAGTCTGCCGGGAATACCGACTGCCTTTCGTCCTAACCTTCGTCGACTATGAGAAAGCCTTCGACAGCGTCGAAACGAATGCCATTCTGTCAGCACTAGTCGATCAAGGAGTAGACCCAGCCTACGTGAGGACACTAGCCGACTGCTACAAGGACTGTACAACATCGATGCAGCTATTCCATCGCTCCCTGACCATTCCAATCGGGAAGGGGTTCCGACAAGGCGACACTATTTCGCCGAAGCTCTTCACCGCGGTCTTGCAGTGGGTGATGAAGTCACTGGACTGGGATGAGAGAATCAT